TACTGGGAGTTGCCTTTGCCTTTCTGTGTCTTGGTCCTGCTGTTGCTTGCATACTAGTGATAGGTTGAACATCCCTAATCCAAAATCTGAAATACTTGTGGCCCCAAGAATTCTGTATAAAAGACACTCAGCATGGCCCCAAGAATTCTGAATAAGAGATACTCAGCACTTTGTCATTTTTCACTTAACTTATCAAAAGATAGGAAGCTTCCTTATTTGCTTTTTTTTTAGATTATTCAACCAGAACTTTATTGGTGGATATGTGTTGTTTTCAATGTTTTTGCATCATAAACAGTGCTATGTGGTAGATAATGTTACACATGTTATCTGCTTATATGTAAGTATATCTGTATAAATTCAGAAGACAGATTGGAGGATCAACTGATACAGACATTTGTTATTTGGGTGGCTGTTATCAAATTTCCCTGTACAGATAATAGTTGTAGAATTTCCGTATCTGTCAGTGACATACTATATAAGAGAAACTATTTCTGCATAGCCTTACCAGAAGAGTTTTTCTCAAATTTTTGAATTTTTCAGCGTAATAGTTGGGAAAATGGCATCTCCGTAGTTTCAGCATGAATTTCTCTTTTTGAATGAAGTTCATCTGTCATTTCCCCCAATCCCCAGTTTTTTTTTTTAGTGGCTTTCTGTCTTTTGCTGATTTCTAAGATTTTTTTTTTTTTTTGGTGTTGTAGTAAATTTTCACTGATAAAAGGATTAGAAACCAAATGTTCAAAGACATACAAAAGGGCTAAAGGCACACATGTGTTCAGAGAAAGGTTACTAAATGTGTAATGACTAAGGAAGACGATAAATTTAGGGCAGGGACAAAAGTAACTGGGCATATTGAAAAGTTGATCATTGAAGTCTAAGAGATTTTTATATACTAGAGAGAGAATATGTTTCCAAGTTTGTTGTTTGTGTTTTGATTTTGTTATAACACGGTGGTGGTATTTTTTGAGCAAATGAAGTTATAAAAAATCTTATGGTGTAAAATTTTTAAGATCTATTTTATAGCTTCTGAATATTGAGTTAGTTGAAAGTATATTCCCGTTCCAAGGTTATAAAGGAATTTCTGTATTTTTTCTAGTACTTTCATGATTCATTTTTAGATTTAAACCTTTGATTCATCTAAAATTTTTCCTGTTCTCTACATATTTCCTTTTTCTTCATATAGCTGCCATAGAAATATCTGAACTATAGGGTATGCTTTTTCCATACCCTAATTACATTGTTTTTTCATATATTTTGGTCTTTTCTGAAATTGTCTGATTATCTGAGCACTGGCATCACCATTTAAATTTCTAAGGTCTTAATGCATTCTAGTAAGTTTAATAGTAAGTTTCCTCACTATACTCCTTCCCAACCATAGTTTACATTCCATATTTAGTTAAGAATTGGTGTCTTCCTTTAACATTCCCCTTAAAAAAAAAAGTCAGAGAGAAACACCAAACTATTGGTGTTCTTTATTGGAATTATGTTAGATGTGTAAATGGAGAGGGGGCATATCGAAATATTTTTAAATGTTTGTGATGCTTGGACCTATCCATTTGATGAAGTTTATTTTGTGTCTTTGAGTCATGTTTTGAAGTTTTCCTCATTTAAATCCCTAACATTTCTTAAATTTATTCTTAGATATTTTAATATTTTAGTTACTATTATAAGGGTATTTTCTTTAATATCTTCTAGCTAGTGTTTGTTCATACATGTGAAGGATAATGACTTCATATTTGTATACCCCACTGTTAAATTCTCTTATTGCTTACTTTTTCATTGCAGTTGGTCCTTTTGGGTTTCCCAGGAAAACAATTACATCACCTGCAAATAATTTTATCTATCATTTTTATTAATGCGGTACTGGGGTTTGAACTCAGGACCTATACCTTGAGCCTCTCTACTGGCCCATTTTTGTGAAGGGTTTTTTTGAGATAGGGTCTCACAAACTATTTGCCTAGGCTCACTTTGAACTTCGATCTTCCTGATCTTTGCCTCCTGAGTAGCTAGGATTACAGGCATGAGCCACCAGCTCCTCTATCATTTTATATGTCTGAGATTTAGTTTTCTATCCAAATACATCAACTAGAACTCTACCACAATGGTAGATAATAGTAAGGGATAATAGGTTTGGTCTTATATTTTTTTCTCCATAAGCCTATTAATATGATGACTTTTATTAATATATTTCCTAATAGACCTGCGTTCCTATACAAAAAGCCTCTGGATCATCATGTTTTTATTTTTTTTAATTTTTTTAAAGGTACTGGGGATTGAGCCCAGGACCTTGTGCTTGCTAAACAAGTGCTGCACCACTTAAGCTAAGCTCCCAGCACTGCGATTTTTAGTTTGTGTTTTTGAGATAGGGTTTTGCTAACTTTGCCTGGGTTAGCGTTGAAGTTGCCATTATCCTGCCTCTGCCTCCCAAATTGCTGGGATTACGGGTGTTTGTTCTATTGTATTTGTTCTGTTGCTGATAATTTTAAAGTTTCTTCACAAAGTTCATAAGTAGATTAGTTTGTCGTATGTACTGTTTGTCCTTTTTTTTTTTTTTTTACAAAAAAGCTGTTACCATTCTTGTTCTCTCTCTAAAGGTGACTTTTTCAGTCTATTGATAGTGTATTCCTTTGTAATAAACTTTACTATTACTTTACCACAAACACAAATAAAACTATATTATGCTTCGTATAAATAATTTGGAAGTTTCCCTTTTTTTTTTAATGCCCTGGAATACAGTCTGGTGATATTCTTCTATAAAGTTGTTAAAGCTTAGAAATTTTTATATTTTCATTTTATTTGTTTATTTATTCAAAACTTTTTTTGGTGGTATGGGGGTTAGAACTCAAGGCCTTGTGCTTGCTAGGCAGACCCTCTACTACTTGAGCCATGCCCTCAGGCCTTTATTGCTTCAGTTATTTTTTAATAGGGTCTTTCCCTCGTCTTTCCAACCCTCTTGGGATCAACCTCAGACCAGGATCCTCGTACCTATGCCTCCTGAGTAGCTGGGATTATAGCTATGTACCATCATGCGTAGCCAGAGTCTGGGACTTTTTTTTTTTTTGTGGAGTTTAAATGCATGACTTTGCACTTGCAAAGCAGGTGCTTTACCATTTGAGCCACACCTCCAACCCATTTTGCTCTGGTTATTTTAGAGATGGGGTTACATGAACTATCTACTGGCCTCAAACTACTATCCTCCTGATATGAGCCTTCCAAGTAGCTAGAATTACAGGTGTGAGTCACTGACTCCTGGTGGGTCTAGGACTTTTTAACATATAGTACTATTAGTAATGTTCTTCCTTTTCTTCCCCCATTGTAGTTAGAAGATTTTCTTGGGTTAATTTTAATTACTTGTATTTTCCTGGAAAATTATCTACTGTATTTTTTTTCCTAAGTTTTTAGATAAAATTATGTGAAAATTGAACAAAATGGCCTCTATGGTTATTTAAATTTTGTTAGTGGTTTCTCTTAAGTATGATATTATACTTTTCACTTTTATCTTAAGAATATCTAGTAGGTTTATTTATCCCCTATCCACATAATCAGCTTTTCATTCATATATTAATTCTCTTCAATGTCTATTTTATTTTCTTTAAGCTGTTTCCTTCTACAGTTATTTAGTTTTAATGTTTTTTTGCTAAATTTGTAAGTTGATTGTTTATTATTTTCAATTTATTTAAATATTTAAGGATGTGAAATTACCTCTGAACACTGGGAAATAGCTTTGATTTTGATATGTAGTATTTTTATTCTCTGGGAAGTCTGCAATTTGAGTTTAATTTCTCCTTGATACAATTTTCAACAGCAGAATTATGTATCATTTTCACACCATAAAGTCCATTTCAGATTATGTTTTAATACATTAAAACTTATGATCAAGACTTGGAAAAATGTCTTTTGAAAGAGAATTAACAAACTTCTCCTTTACCCCACCACAACAGTGTAAGTTACAGAAGACAGAACTCATAATTCATTCACTAATTAGGAGCATAGCTAGTGTGAAATGTAATCATTTAGCTTAAATAAGTCTTTATTCTTGGATTATCTAGTTTTATTTCATTTTAAGTTTTCGTTGAGATCTAATCTCTCCTAAAATATGTACAAAAGATGTAAAAATAAGGGTTGCAGATGTATCTCAGTGGTAGAGTGCTTGCCTAGTGGATGTGAAGCTCTGGATTCAATCCTCAATAACACACACACACACACACACACACACACACACACAGAAATATAAGTCTTGTCTTTTACTAAGAGCTGTGGAAGACATGATTATTACTGATAACTAAATTCAAATAAAACCATAATGAAGATTAGGGGCAAGGGGGACAGAGGTGTGGCTCAAGCAGTAGAGTATCTGTCTAGTAAGCATGAAGCCCTGAGTTCAAATTCCAGTACCACCAAAAAAAAGATTTGAGGAATTCTTGCTATGGATGTTAGTTGATATTCTGGACTTTAGTTGTGTGTGTGTGTGCTCTATATGGAGACCATAGTAACAAGCTTGATAACTTTTCTTCATAGACAAGGTCTGTTACCTTTTTTTTTTTTGTCTTGATTAAGGAATGTCATTTTAGATAGATGGAGAGAAAGGAAGAAAGAGAGGGAATAAACTTACTCTAATCCTCTAAGAAAAATGAAACTAGGCTGCTTGCTTCTATAGACTGCTAAAATATATTTTAAATTCGAGAGGGCCTAAATATAAAAATTTTGACTCTAGTGAAAATTTGGCATTAAAGGATTCTTCTTTTTTTTTGGAGACAGGGTCTTGCTATGTAGACCATTTATGGAATTGCAATGTACCTCTATGTCTGACTTGTTTTTCTTGGAAGTTTAGAAGTGAAAGAAACAACATATTTTATATTTTTAAATTCAGAGTTAGATATTTTATTTTCAGGTTAGAAACCTGAGATCCACAATGTACCTTACTATTTGGAAGTCCTTTTATTGAGAGAATGAAACCTGAGTTAATTATTACTGTATTAGATTCTATTATCTTTGTTTTACAGAGAATACAAGCTAGCATTCTAAAAGCGTTCAACAACCCAACTACTAAGACTGCTGATGATGAAACTAGAAAAAAAGTCAAAGGTATGTTGGCTCTAATTGTTAAAAGTTTTTTTCTAGGAGAAAATATTAAAAGCTTTTTTATAGCTGAAAAAGAATTGAGCATTCTAGTAATTATTTTTCTAAAGTAGAGACCTTAAAAGGCAGTTGTACCTAACAACAATGGCTACAAGATGTTTTAATGGGACATGGAAAGAAAATGGTAAAATTCATTATGTGACTATTTAAAAAATAAAACTAATACAAATTGATACTGATGCCCTTATGTAAGATCTTCTAAAGGAGATGTCAAAGATTGTTCAAAATAGCATCTTCTCTTGGAAGCTGTTTCATTGTAACCTTTTGGTGTTTAGATAAGTAGGTTTGTGGGTATTATCTAGTTTTATCTAATTATATTTAAGTGCTCCAGAGACTCTTGTAAGAAAACCATTTATTGAAGAGACTACTAGTAATCAAGCATTAGTAGAGCTTGCCTACTGTATTGTTTGTTCTTTACCTCTCAAAATGTGGGCAAGAATAATGATTAATCAAAGCTGATGGCTTACTTTTATTGATATTGCAGTGTTAGTTTATATCCTTTGATATGAGCAATTTACCTACTCCCAAGTTTATATACCTCTGTTTTGAATTATTAACTAATGTTACTGTAAAGTCATCATTTTAGGAAATATTTAAAAACATTACTAGTGTTTTACTTATTTCTAACTTTGAGTTAGAAACATTTTTTTACTTTTATAATGTTCATACTAAATGTGTATAATTTATAGACAAATATACATACATTGCTATTATACCTTCCAAAACCCTATTACAGGTAAGGGTTAAGATTTTTATAGGTTCTCAAGAATGCTTCTTGTTCTTTTATGTTGAGATAGTGCCATCTAGTGCACGTTTAGAATAATAGCCCCATTTTTCTTTCCAGTTCTGTAATCCTTTTCTGTTTTTACAGTATTTCTTAATAGTTATTGTAAAATGTTTATTGATATGTGAAAATACAAGTCTGCTCTGTTATTCAGTGCTTCAGATAATGTTGTCAATGATATTAAATACATTTCTATGAAATTTGAAGGTAGAAGCCCCAGAAGAACAGCAGCTTGAAAGTAGGGAAGTAACAGTTGTTAATATAATTTCTCTTTCATGGTTTATTAAATAAACTTTCAAATTCCTGTTGGAAGTACAGAGAATGGTATACTGTTGCCTCTTGTACTGGTCACCTAACTTTAAACTACGTTCATGGCATATTTTGTTTAATTTGTTTTCTCCCAATCCCCGATTATTTAAAGCAAACCACAGGCATAATTTCCTTTGATTTAGAAGTACTTCCTAGGCAAAATAATTTTAACTTAAAAATATTATCAAGCATGTGTGTATGTGTACTATTAATTATGTTAATTCTTTACACTATGCTGTGCTTATTTGTCTTTTATAACTTTTTCATAGCAGTGGGTCTGGCATCTGTGGCCTTGAAAACAATCATCTTCTTTGTTCTGCTCTCTAGCTAGGTTAGACACAGGCTTTGAAAGGCTTGATGGGAGCAGTTGAGGCGTAGTATGAATACTGGTTATTGCTCTATTTATTTTACCTCTTAAGAATAGTTTATTATTTATTGGAGGTTATGGTAGTTGATAGTCATATTGCCTCTTAAAAAGGCATTGTATATTATATAACAAAATATGTATATTACATAGAAAATGTAACATATATAGTAAAATATATTAAATATGATATAGGAAATCTCCTTTTTTCAGATTACTTTTGAATAAACAGATTATAACTGTACCACTTTGGATGGTTGGTTTTTTTTGTGTTAAAAGTATGATTTTTACAGCATATGGAAAAGAAGGCGTAAAAATGAACTTCATAGATCGGATCTTTATTGGTGAATTAACTAGCACTGTCATGTGTGAAGAATGTGCAAACGTAGGTACTCTGGAATTCACTTCATGGAATAGATTATAATCACATTGTTCTTTATTATGTTTTCCTTTTTTTTCAAGTATCACAATGTTTATTAATAGATACAAGTAGATAAAATCAAGGCATGAATGTGATTTGATAAATTAAGTAAACTTTAAGTAAACTTAATTTCACTACTATAATAAGAGGAGCACTTTAGATTCTCACACCCTCAATAAACCTCTTCAAGGACATTAATGATCTCTCAAAGCCATCAGTTTTATGTAAATAAACAATGTTTGGTTTACTTACATGTTTTGCAGTTGCCAAGCTCAACGATATTAAAGACTAGTACATAAAACCCATTACTAGAGGTAGAAACACAGGTGATACACTATTGTAGCAACAACCATAAGTTACAGTTAAGAAATTTTCTGTAATAGCCAAATGGATCAAATATTGCAGCAATGCAACTATTACTGAGCAAAGTAAAGTTTCACACTATTCAGTTTTCTAACTTAAATAGCCTATGATAACTGGCAGCAAAGAAGGTTTTCTTTCAATATAATCAATATAATATTAAAAAATTTATAACAGGTGACTACATAAAATTCTCTTAAAGATATACCCTAAACTTCTTGAAAGTAAACATAAATTTTAATTGTGTTGTCAAGTAAATGTGTTTATATGTGTGGTTTTATTTTTTTCCTATTGATATATTCATGAGGTACTGTTAGACCCTTTTTTTTGAGACGGAGTCTCACTATATAGCCAGGCTGGTCTCAAAACTGGTGGTTCTCGCACTTCATCCTCCTAAGTGCTGGAATTCTACAGGTGTGTCTCACCATGCTGAGCAAGCCTATCTTAATATGCTAAACTCTGCTAGCTACCTGTTTAGACTGAAGTAAGACAGAAGCTTCTGTGAAGAGAGTAACTATGTTACATTACAATGTCCTAAAATGTAATTGCAGTAGAAGTAATGTAGTAATATAACCTAGGGTGATTCACACTTGACTTAAATTTCGCATTTATGTAACTGGATAAAGTTTTTTTGTGTAGTCTTGACTCATCTTTGAATTTAGTATTAATTTTTATTTTAAATGCCATCATTAACAATTTACAACATGTATTCTTACAGATTTTTCAGTTGCGTTGCTCAAAGTGTATGGCTTTGAGTATGATAGATTTAAGCTTTTGTCAGATTTTGATAGTAAAAGAATCTGTATGTCTATTTTTCTGGCTCCAGACTGTAAAGTATTTTTTTCCCTCTCTAGTCTTGTAACACCAGGATTACAAATTATATCTCCTTCTACCCTGACACATTAAAACACAGAATGTACAACATGGTATCTACTTACATTTCTAGAACATTCAACATAGAAGTTGATATCTCTCTTACAAAGGTAGAGATTATCTTTTAAAACAGAATTATACTAAGGGGTCTATAAAACACTGTCAGGCTCTTGATTTTTCTCTGGCTTTTTCTTAACACTTCATATACTTTGTTTTAACTTAAAATTTAAGTTAAGTTAAGCATGGGATGTTTGATTTCTTTGAATCTTTTCAAAACTATATGTCTGTACTAGAATTCTAACTGATGTTCTCAATCTGTTTTCTCTTTAAGATTTCCACAGTGAAAGATCCTTTCATTGATATTTCACTTCCTATAATAGAAGAAAGGGTAAGGAGACAAAAGTAATCATGAGACATGTGAAGAATATTTGTTTAATCATTTCTGTAGATAGTTGAGTGTATTATCTGATATCTGAGTCATTATATTTTACATATAATTGAATTTGTATAGTACATTTGATATTGGGGTTTGTGCATGTGTGCATAAAATATGATAAAATTCATATATTCCAGGAATTTAAACCTTATGCTTTCTATATTGAGAGTTAATGTTAAGAAAATTTTTTTTATATTTGAAGTAAAATAGAAAGTTTTTTTTAAAGATATGATATCCAGAATTTATTTGCTAAAGAAGTCTTGTGTTAGGTACATGGTATGTAAATAGGTATCAAAACCTGTACTTTTGGGAAAAATTCGTAGCTAAAGAAGTCGACAGGAGGCAGGTTGTAATCAGTACAGTGGCATTTTTTACTATAGAAAATACTCAAGCATATACAAAAGTAGAGAACATAGTATGATAAAGTTCCACGCTCTCAATTCTCAGCTTGGTGATTATCAACTTGCAGCTAATCGTGCTTTCACTGTATGTATTCCACAACATCGCCTCGCCCCATCTCAGATTATTTTGAAATAAATTCCAACTGTATACTTCAAGGTATATCTCTAAAAGATACTCTTTAGGAGCTGGGGGTATAGCTACTTTCCTAGCTTGCTCAAAGCCCTGACTTCAACACCCAACACTAGAAAAAAAAAAGATACTTTATAAAAACATACCCATAGTAATGCCTTTTTTTTTTTTCTTTTGGCAGTATGGGGTATTGAACTCAGGGTCTCATGCTTGCTAGACAAGCACTATACCACTTGAGCCATGCCTCAGTTCTTTTGCTTTTAGTTTGTTTTTCAGAAAGGGTTCCATGTTTTTTGCCCAGGACAGCCTTGAACCATGATCCTTGTGCCTACACCCTGTCATTGCTGGGATTATAGGCATATGCCACCACATCCAACCCTATGCTTAAAAACTTTAATAACTTCTTACTAACACCAAGCATTTAGTCATTATTTAAATTCTGCAGTTGTCTCTCATAAGTTTTCAGTGTTTGATTTTGCTTTTGTAAACTGCTTGAATTTAGGATTGTTAAAAAAGGTCTACAGATTGCAACTGATTGTTGTGTCTTTTAATCTTTTTTTTTGGTGGTACTAGGGTCTGAACTAAGGGTTTTGCTAGGTAGGTGCTCTATAGCTTGAGCCATGCCTCCAGCCCTTAAATCTATAATCTACAGATTTTCTTCTCTCTCACTTATTTATCTTTTTATTTATTACACTTTATTACTGAAAAACTTGGATCAGTTTTTCAGCAGTTTCCCACATTTAGTAATTTAGCTATTGCATTCTCATGGTATTAGCAGGTTCTTCTGTCTTCCTTATTTCCTCTCTAAAGCGGTCAAATTAGGTTCAGATGTGATTGTTCATTTACTTTTTGCTAAGAAAACTTCTTGCTGGCAGTCATGGTGAATACCTGTAATCCCAACAGTTGGGAGTAGAGGCAGTAGGATCATGAATTGAAGGCCCCCCTGGGCTACCTAGCAAGTTCCATGCCAGCCTGGGATACATAGTGAAACTTCATCTCAAATACAGCAAAACCAAATGAGAGAAAATTTATATGATGGTGTATAATCCCATCAAGTAGGTGCACATTCTTAGTGTCACTTTCCAAGATATTATTTGTCGTTAATAAATATTTTCTGCATCCATTGTTAACTACAGACATGCCTGGTTGTTAAATGATTCCATAAAATGGAAATAAATTAATCTGAATTTATACTTCATTAAGAAAGTTTTTGCATGAAATGGTTTGTACTAATTTGGCAGATTGACATATATCACATATAAGTTACTCTGTTAGGATGCTTGTAAGTAGCAGAAGTACAGAATGGCCAAAAGTTTTCTTTAAATAAACACTATCTTATTTCTGCTTCATAAGATACATATGGCAGGTAAATACAATTTGAGCATGAACTTTATTCTAATGATACAAAAACAAAAGTAACTTTATTGGAACCTCTTACAGAATTTGAAACGATTAAGACATTTTATTTGATGTGTTTCTCTAAAGCACTGGCTAGTAAAATATGAATATGTAATGATTTTTTTCTTTATTTTTGTTCAGTTTAAAAGGATTAATAGAAGATTCTGTGGTCCTAGCCAAAATAGTTTCAATAGGTCTGTTTTGCAAATGTATGTGAGAAGAGCTGCCCACAGAGTACTTGTCAGGAACTGAGAATATGCTTCTGCCATATATAGATACTGTCTATAACTCAAACATGGATACCACATGGCTATAATTTGGGCTTGTGATGAACAAATTGACCTGATCTTCATTGAAATTGGTTTTCATACAATGACATAATTCAAAGTTACTTTTTGTTGTCTTTTTAGTTCATGAGAACACAAAAAAGTTTGCATATGTTTCTATAATTACAATGGTACAGTTCTAATAACAACTGTATTCAAAAAACCCAAAAGTTAAATGATACAAATATGTTTCAGTCATTAGACAGTCTATGTTTAGAAGTCACTTTCCACTAATTCATTAGTTACTGAATCATTTTGGTTATGGAACCAGAATGATTCATTGGTTTCCATTTTAATACTAATAGGTTAATAAAGTCTTATTTAGCTTGATATTAAAGCTTGTAATAAGAGTATAAAAGTATTTTATTTTACGAAGGTGCTGGTGGCTCATGCTGTCATCCTAAGCTGTGCAGGAGGCTTACATTGGGAGGGTCACAGTTCAAGGCCAGCACGGGCAAAAAAACATTTGCAGTAACCCATCTCAACCAATAACTTGCCAAGGGGTCATTCTGGCAATGTTGGGAAGCGTAAAATAGGAGGATGAGTATCCAGGCTGGTCTGGGCAAAAAGTGAGACCCTATCTTCAAAATAACCAGAGCAAAAGGGCCTGGAGGTGTGGCTCAAGTGGTAGAACTTCTGCTTAGCAAGTGCAAAATTTTGTTCAAACCTTTGTATTGCCAAAGAAGTATTTTATTTTAACAAACTTTTCTTTATAGTGGTCTAGGCTCTGATCTAGTAAGTGTGTCTGTATCAAAAGCAGAAGCTCGCTTTTTTTTTTTTTTTGTGGGACTAGGATTTGTACTCAGGACTTTATGCTAGCAAAGCATGTGCTTTACTGCTAGAGCTGTATCTCCAGTCCATTTTGCTCTGGTTATTTTTGGAAATGGGTTCTCTCAAACTATTTGCCCAGACTGGCCTTGTACTGCAGTCCTTCTGATCTCAGCCTCCCAAGTAGCTAGGATTACAGATGTGAGTCACTGGCACCTGGTGCTCTTTGCATTTTTAAAAATTAATAATAGAGATATAAGTATTGATTGTCAGTTGTGGAAATTTTCATTTTACTAAGTTATACTACAGTTATCTCATTAAAACCTTACATTTAATGTGCAGAATGATAAAAAGTAATATGTTATGACAGTTAGCTGAGAATTTCTTGCCCTCACATTAGAAGATGTTATAACTGATTACCTTGGAAAAGATGAATTTTCTTTTGCTTAGTAATAACAGAGGCAAGTAATAAAACCTTGTGAAATAAAGCAGTATAAAACTAATGTGTGCAATTTCTGGTTTCAGTACAGAAAAAATATTAGTTAAAAAAAGGCAGGTGTAAACAGGAATATCTATGGGCACATGAGATACTTTAAAGACTATACAAGAGTCTGTTCCGTAGGCTATTCTCCATTTCTTCTTGCTCTTTCCTGCAACATTTTTTAAAAGTTGTCCTTATTGAATAAATGTAGAAACCAGAAAGTTTCAAATTGATACCTCTATTTAATAGTTTTCCTTAGTTCATTATGTCAGAAAGAAATCCAGAGGTTTAATTTTGCTGGGCTGCTCCAATATATAAGTGTGTTAGTTTCATGAGAAAAGTTGTTATTATGAAATCACTGAAACCTGTGTTGTACCATTCATCATTGAGCTTACATTCAGAAGGTCACGGTCCTCTTATCTACATGGAAGAAGTTAGGAATGTTTTTACTTTTCCCTTTCTTTTACCAATGAGACCAGTCTGTACCAAAGTCTAATGATAACTGCATGTATCAGCATACTTAAAGATAGATTTGAAGGCTGAGGATATAGCTCAGTGAAAGAGTGTGTTCTTTGTATGCATGAGGTTCTGTGTTCAATTCCCATACCAATCAGTCATTCAATAAATAAATAAAAACTTGAACTGGATGTGCTGGTGTGTACTCAGCCCCAGCTACTTGGGAAGTTGAGGCCAGAGAGGATCATTCACGCTTAAAAGTTTGAGGTTAGCATGGACAATGTAGTTGAGACCCCCCCCATCTCTAAAATTAAAAAAATAAATAAAAATCAAGCAACTCTGTATTCAGATGTATTTTTACCATTTTTTTCCAGAGGCTTAATTTCTCATATTTATGCAGAATTTACGAAAATGGCAACTTACATGTTTTAAGGTATTAAATTCAACAGATACTTAGAGTTTGTAAGTTTTCAAGTCCAAGTAAAATAATTGCAAGGATATTTTTGTTTATCATGTAATGTTAGCTCATAATTTACTATTAGACGAGGTTTTTGTTTTTGTTTTTGTTTTTTGCTATAAATGAACCAGGAACCCTGCACATGCTAGCCAAGTGCTCTACCACTGTGCTACATCTTTAGCCATGGTTCTTTGAGACACGGACTCACTGTGTAACTCAGGCTGGCTATGAATTTGCTCTGTAGCCCAGCTGGCCTCAGACTTGTGATCCTCCTGTCTTAGCTTCTGAGTCCTAGAATCACAGACATGAGGCATGATGCTCAGTTCTCATTGGGAACTTTGAGAACACTCAAAAAAAAAAAAAAGAGAGATATTTCGTCTTTGAGCATTTTTATTTGTCTTATATTTTTAAAGTTTAAAATAGACCCCCCCCCACTTCCAGTGTGTGTAACAAAAACAGAAGCTTCTTTTTTTTTGTTGTTCATTTATTCACACGTGCATACATTGTTTGGGTCACTTCTCCACCCTGCCCCCCTCCCCCATCCTTCCTCCCTCCCCTCCTCAGTTTCAGGCAGGTCCTGTTCTGCCTTTGTGACTGATTTTGTTGAAGAAAAGACATAAGCATAATAAATACAAAGCATTTTTGCTAGTTGAGTTAAGGATAGCTATACAGAAAGATTCCTACTATTGCTTTCATGTACCTATGTGTTACAGACCATGTTGATTCAACTCTAACTGATCTTTACACTGGTTCCTGATTCCCCTGCTAGTGATAACATGTTGTTTTAAGGTTTCTGTATTAGTTCCTCTGGCGTAGGGACATGAAATGCTTTCATGTTTGGGTTTTCTACCTATTCCTATATCTCCCATATGTGCTCTCCTCTTTTCTTGTGATTCAAGTCCAACCACATTGCTGCATTTGCCCTAGATCTAAAGTCCGCATATGAGGGAGAACATATGATTTTTGGTCTTCTGAGCCTGGCTGACCTCGCTCAGAATGATGTTTTTCCAGTTCCATCCATTTGCCTGCAAATGATAAGATTTCATTTTTCAGAAGCTTCTTGCATCTTTTAAAATCAAAAAGTGAGTTTTATATACTGATCTGATAACGAACTTTTGAGGTTTTTTTACCTCTTGTTTTTTTCTGTTACACTATAGTTATCTCATTAAAACCTTACAAAGTTAATATGAAGATTGATGATGAAGCATTGTATTTCTTAGTTTATAAGACAGGGAAGGAGAATAAAAAGCATTGGGTTAAAAGAAATAAAACCAAGATAGTACTATGAATAACAATGGACAGAGTTAGCACTGGTGGAGTAAGGGAGAAGATCAGGCCTTATTTAGAGTATTTTAAAAAATAAACAGTGAATAGAATTTTTTTAATTGGAAAATTGCATGAGGCAAAAAAAGCATTACCAAAATAGTCTAAGAGAAAAGATAGGGAAATACAATGTGGCCTTCTGACTGGTCTTTTTCCTAGTTCTAACTCCTCTCCCTGTTCCCCAACACTAATGGGTGCTCCTGCTTGCTGTATATCTAAAATACAAAATTCGTCATCTTACTCCCCACCTGACTTCTCTTTGTCCTCAGAATCAAGGCTGTAACTTATAAAACAGAAACATGAAGAACTACATTTTATCTGCTTTCTCCTCTCCACATTTGTCCTGTATTTTCTAGCTAGAGTTCACAACTTGTATACTTTCTGTGGGCTCTTGTGTATATTGTCTCATTTAACCACCAAGACAACCCATTGTGGTTGGTACTTTTGTCTTATAGGTGAGGAAATTGGAATATTGAGATGTGTACTCTTCCCCAACATCAGCCAGCTAGTAAGTGACAGAACCTGAATTTGAACCCAGGCAGTATAACTGCAGAATCACACTCTTGACTTCTATCTTGTACTCACTCTTTAATAATATAAAGCTTTCTTCCATGCAGGTGTTTTTTTGTTGGTGGGTGTTTTTTTTCATGGTGGGGGAGGGTCTCACTGTATACCCCAGGCTAGTCTTGAACTCACATGATCCTCCTGCCTCAGCCTCCTGAGTGTTAGAACTAAAGGCATGCTCCACCACAGCTGGCTCTTCCATTAAATTTTGATTATCCTTTCAGAATAATCTTATTAATGTTTGGTCCTAATTTATATTATAAACTTAAAGAGAATATATTTAGCAAATTAAATCTATCATATATACACCTAGCAGAAAACAGGGATGGGAATGAGTACTTTAATATTTCATTGGGAACAGGAGGGTAGAAGGGATAGATAGAACAGTTCAGTTTAAAAGTTGCTAAGACTGGGGCTGAAAGTAAAGCTCAGTGGTAGAATGCTTATCTGATATGAGCAAGCCCTGGGTTCTGTCCCCAGTACCATAGAACAAGCAAAAAAAGCAAAACAGAAGTTGTTAGGCTTAATCACCTCTAGTTCCGTGTCACACAGCATTTCCTAGGTTGGATATGTATTTTTTAAAATAGTAGTAGACCCTCTTAGGTGGGTCTGATGATTCATCTGGGTTCAGAAACTATTCAGTTAGCAGTTAGATGAATTGATTTCATCTTGGACATGTTATGAAAAACCTGTTTGGGTATGTAATTTCCCATTGACCATTAATATTATGTACATAATAGGAAAAAATGCTATATAATTTCAACATAGGGGAACTCTTTGGGTGTTACCATAAACTTCATTATTTATCATGTGCCTCTAATAGACCAAATACATATGATGAAATAAATCTTCAATTCAAGTAGTTTAAAATACTTGGTAAACATGAGAGCTAATGTTATTTCCCTGATCGTTTGTTTGTTTATGTATTTGTTTTTGGCATTACTGGGGATTGAACTCAGGGCCTCAAGTTTGCATAGGCAAGTACTCTTATCACTTAAGTCATGTCCCCAGTCCTTTTGTTTTCAGATTGGCACTTGACCTTTGCCTAGGTCAGCTTTGGACCATGATCCTCCTCCCTCCACCTCTGTAATATCTGAGATTGCAGATGTGAACCACCATGTCTGGCTTCTTTTTGATACAGGATCTCACTAACTTTTTTCCCTATGCTGGCCTGGAACCAAGATCTTCCTCTATCTGCCTCTATTTGTAGCTAGGATTATAGTCATATACCACCACGCAGGGCCCTATTTTCCTGATTTTGAATGAAAAAAAAATTGAGGCATAGGCACCTTTTATAATTGATTCTTCTTTTTCTCGTGAATAACTAAAAGTGAAAATACTATCCACATGCAATTTGTGACACTTTATTTTCGTGCTTACTTATTTGTCTTGACTCTTGAGGCAAGCTACAGGAAAAGAACAGTATAGCTCAAATGTTCAACAATGTGGAACCCTTAGTGAAACATTTCTGATAGCTTAAAATCTTTAATTAAATTAGTGGTTAATTCGCCTCACTGCCAAACTTGGGTTGCTCTACCTCTGTTTCACACTATCACAAGAAACAAGGTTGATTGACACCACAGTCTGATCAAAAAGTAGCAATTAATAAGCAAAGTAAAAATTAGATACAAATAAAATAAAATATTTTCTTTCAGGTCTATGGCAGCCAGGCATAAGAGAGCTTTTAACTTGTTACTTTTTAATTTACTTAAAAATACATGTTACATTTTCAAATTTGAACAGTCAGCAATTATGCAAAAGTTTAAGTCTCCCTGATAGCCCTCTTTTATAAAAGTCCTGTTGTTCCCTTCTTCACAGACAGTAACCACTTTTGTCAGTTTTCCAAGTAAAGGTTTACGTTCAAATTAAAACTGTTTATTTGTTAAAATATCTTCTATTGATTTAGTTTAGGTAGATTTTAGAAATGACTCTCTGAGAAGTAGTAGTTATTTAATAATTGTGGAACCATTAAATAGAACTTATTGACATATATTTTCAATAAGGTCACAAGATTCTTTTTTCTGAAAACACTGTCAACTTACAGAATCAACGAATTCATGACAGAAAACATGTAAGAAAATTGTCACCTGGAGGAAAGAAGACTGTTGTTATATATCAGAAAAATGAAAATCTTGAAATAAGTGGGGACTCTTCAGTGTTTGCAAGCATCATGGGTACTGAGTCATCTCTGAATGAAAGCCCTACGGATGGCAGTGATAAAGAAGCCAGCCATTGTGAAAGTAGTGCTGATGCTGACAGTGAGGCTTCCCAGTCAGAAAGCACTTCAAAGCAGACCATGCTGTTTAGATCCAGTGGGGAAGCCTGTGTGCACACAGATAGGCACCTTCAATTCACATTGGCAAATAAACTGCCACACACCAAGGAGACTGACAGTGGTGATGAGGGAATGGCTGAAGCAATTTCTGAACTTTGTCTGAGCAGCAGTGAAATTGGAGATCAAGATTTTGACAGAGAAAATCAGCCACTGCATGTTCCAAACAACTTATATTTTTCAGATGGAAAGCATATGAGGTCTCACAGCCCCCAAAATGCTTTTCAGACTCTTTCTCAGAGCTATGTAACTACTTCTAAAGAATGTTCAGTTCAGTCCTGTCTCTACCAGTTTACATCTATGGAATTGCTAATGGGGAATAATAAGCTTCGTTGTGAGCACTGTACGGAGAAGAAGCGGAAGCACCAAAGGGAAACCAGTTCTGCAGGTAAGTAGTTAACCTAATTTATTTTGTATTGATGATGGGTCATAGGCAACTAATGGGTTATTGATCCTAAATGGAGGAACCTGGGAACCTGGTCTGCATGTGAGCTGCTTGGCAAAGGGATTGTCTTATTCATACTTGAGCCTCAGCCTTAAGATACTGGCTGTGCAAAATAGATTTTGAATAGATTTTTGTTCAAATAAATTGATGAGCAAGAAGCACACATCTGTTCCTTGAAAATGCCAATCCATATAGACTTATTTGAGAGAACTAGCTATCTAAAATCTTTCTGAAAGAAATATCCCTAAAATTTACAGTTATATCACTAGTGAGATTAATGATGAAATTACTGTGTCTTATGAATACCATCAATTTGTCATCAACTCAAGATTTATGTTGTGAATAAACAAAGTGGGAAAAAGGGGAACTGTCAAGTAATTTTTCGGTGTGTCTCTAGCCTTAATTAAAGGGAAAGAATACTCTTAGTGCCTAGTTGCTTTAAATGCTGGTTTTGTTATTCAGGTATGGTGAAACCAAGAGATTATGTGATGATTGCCATTGAAAAAACAGTTATAGTTACCAAGAAGTGGGAGCATGCCATGCTATGCAAGGCCACATGGGGAAGTATAAGGGTCATTTGGGGCAGAGACATAAGAGGAGGAAACAGAGCAAGAGCCTTTGTTGTGACCCCAGGGGAAGGAACAGGTGAGGCAGGGTAAAGGAGACTAAGAACTGGCTAGTTTGAGTAACTTTAGCAGGGCTCTGGGGCACAGGTACTGTCCCTAATATCAGGTACCTGACTAGAGTAATTAGGGCACATAGACAGTGGCCTAGGTGTAAGAGCCCAGTAAAGGAGATTGTTGGGGTATGGGCTCTGGATTAAATGGTTTATATATGAAAGACATACTTTAATTGTTTACTACTATTTCTAGAAATTAGCTAACCCAGAGAAGGGCTGTCCCTCCAATATCAATAAGGCCCCAGATGTCAAAGTATCAGAATAAAGACATGTTTAACTAAAGGCACCGATGGCTAATGCTTGTAATCTTAGCTACCCAGGAGGCAGAGATCAGGAGAATCCTGGTTTGAAGCTAGCCCCAGGCAAATAGTTTTCAAGATCATATCTTGAAAAAAAAATCCATCACAAAAAAAGGTTGGCAGAGTGACCCAAGTACTAGGAGTGCCTGCCTGCAAGTGTGAGTTCAAATCCCAGTGCTCCTCCCTACCAGCTCCCCCCCCCAAAAAAAAAAGTTAGATGGAAGCATGAAGAAATACCAATTTACAGTTGTCCATACTGAAACTCTATCATAAATCCTTTCTAACATTTTTATTGAAATGGTCCACGAGTGCCTGTGATGTGGGTTCTTCCTTTGCTGCAATGAGTAATAGGCCTAACTTTTTAAGCTATTAAGTGAGCTTCTGATGGTATTTGGGTAGAAGGCATTAGTTCCTACTAATGCATCTACTTTTTAGCTTCCAAAATTTTGTTGCAAGTATCATCTGTCTACTCTTTGTCATTATTGTTTGCCTTTTTTGAAATTACCCTACTTTAATTTTAGTGGAGTAGAGGCAACCTATAATCATATATCCAATTTCTTTAACAATTTAAAAATGTGGTGTGATGCTTCTATATAAATGTTTATTGTATTATCCTGTAAATACCATATAAGATGGAATGTTTATTTTATTTCATACAGAAAAGAAAGCAGAAGGGGTTTACACTAATGCCAGGAAGCAATTGCTCATTTCTTCGGTGCCAGCTATTCTGATTCTCCATCTTAAAAGATTTCATCAGGTAAAAGTCTCTTTAGTAGTACTATAATCAATTTCATCATGTATTTGCACAAACCTAATTTCTGTGGAATATTGTCAAGGATTAGAAAGTAATTTATGAAATTCAAAATTTTATCATGTGAGGTTTCTTACATTTCTACCTATAATAGTTTATAAGGCTTTCCTGATTAACATTGTTTAAGTAATTGTTGGAGGTGTTGTTCTGTGTGTTAGAAATAAGATCGGGGTCACAATTGAAGACACAGAAACAGAGAATTGTCTCAGCAAGGCAAAAACTTCTGCAGAAGGGTGCACAGGCACAAAGGGGTAGGTCTGCATTTTTATCCCTGCCCTGCCTCCTTTACTTCGATTGATCAAGTTTGGGTACACAGTCTGCTTGCAATTGGCTAACTCTACACTTGGAATTTGGGGGTGGGGTAGTTAGTAATTTCAGTGAAAATGGAGCGTAGTGAACAAGAACCTGGCACTGCAAGCAGCTAAGATGGCGACACACTTTGATAGAAAAGATTGTTTTCCTCACAAGTATTAGGGTGCTTGCGTAGCACACGGGAAGCCCTGGGTTCAATTCTCTAGTACTGCCAAAAACAAACAAAAGAAAATTCACAGTATTTGAAGATTGAGGAAGTAGGAAGTTGAGTGATGTCCCTAAGTGGTGTTTGTTTGTATGTGTGCTGATTGAAAATAAATTTTGTTAAGAACACTTATAAGGAGCTAGGTAGTAAAGAACACACACCTTTTTGATCACACTGAAAGGGTTCTAGGGCTGGGCAGTGTCACTAGAACTAAACATACAAAGGTTCCAAGGCAGACTTTGTACCTGTAGGACTTCATAATGGGAGGTAACCTAAATATTAATGATGCGTCAGATTTCTCTCCCAATTTTTTGTACTTTCAGTGTAATGCCTTTGTATTTTTAAAAATTATTTTTAAATTTCTCTGGAGGAATGAGTAAGTGAAAATACTGAAACATTTTTGAAGATGGAAGCTGGTTTTTTCACCAGGCGCCGGTGGCTCATGCTTGTAATCCTAGCTACTCAGGAGGCAGACATCAGGAGGATCGTGGTTTGAAGCCAACCACGGGCAAATGGTTTGTGAGACCCTATCTCAAAAAAACTTCACAAAAAAGGTCTGATGGCGTGGCTCAAGGTGAAGGCCCTGAGTTCAAACCACAGTGCCACAAAAAAAAAAAAAATGCTGGTTTTGATACTTCTGTTTTAACATAAAACTGTAGTAAGTGAATTTGGACGTGACTGTAATTTAAAGCTATTTTTTTATGATAAAGGAAGAGTCTCAAATCAGTTGGGAAGGGGTCTGGATTTATTCAGTAAAGGACTTAGGAAAAATACCACTTGAAAAAATAAAAATTTAGAGCTTTGCACTAGATATCTGTATTATTTTCAGACACATTTTAATGCATGAAACAAATTATCAGAAAGGTTAGAATGAAATTTAAGGAATATTTGATCTGACCTCTGTGTGAAGGACTTACTAAGTATAAAACCCATGAAAGAAATCTTAAGGAAAAAGATCAAGGGGTGTGTGTGTGTGTGTGTATGTGTGTATGCATGTTAGGATTTGAACCCAAGACCTCATGCATGCTAAACATGTATTCTGCCACTGTGTTGTACCCCCCCCACCCCTGACTGATAGTTTTGAGTACATATTGCAGCATTTCAGGGTGCTGCAGATGATCAGCAAAAAGATTTTTCTCTGTACCTCACCCTTATCCACAGAAAGATTTTAAGTTCTTAGTTTTCTATACCTACTGCTGTAAAAAAAAAATGTCAGTGGAAGTGAAATGGCTTTGGAGAGCAGAAGCTGATATACTGTGTCTCATCACATTACAATGCCTTGCGTCTGCAGGCCTCTGTGAACAAGGGGGAATTGTGAACATCACAGAAGCCAACTTCAAAATTGTACTACAGTTGTTTATGTTTTTATTTGCATTGCTTTTTAGGAAGAGCTTAAAAAAGTATTGATGAATACCTCATTCCCCTCTTGTTTTCAAGCTAAATGTTATGTCTCAAAGCCACATTAACATTCCCAAGGGAATTGTTGGGAGAAAAATGCCTAAGTAATAGCGCTGCTTTTAGTTTATTAGTATCTCTAAAAGGCTTGCTTCTCTATGGTACTTTAGAGCTGTATAACGGAACCATGCACAAACTGAGTAGAGATCTTAGTTATGAATATGCCAAATAATTAATATTGTATGAAAAGAGCTCTTAAAAATCAATAAGAAAAATGTCAAGACCCTAATATTAAACGAGTGAAGAATATCAAAGAATATCAATTGGCAGTTCTAGAAGAGGGAGTACAAATTCCAATAAAGTATGAAAATAAGTCCAACCTTCCCCGCAAAAGAATTGCAAATCAAAGGAACAGATTCCTTTTGTAACGTCTCCAAGTTTACAAAGATACAGTTAGTGCTGATAACGATGAAAGGGAATATAGATATTCTCATTTGTCCGCAGTGGGAGTGTCAATTGACAACACTTTCTAGAAAGTAATGAGTAATGAATATGAAGACCATCAAGTTGAAAAAGAAAAAGAACATCAAGTAATGTTTTGAATTAATCAGTTTTTGAACTAAGTAATTTCACTTCTAAGAACCATCACAAGGAAATAAGAGATGTACACAAAAAAGGAAATATCCTTCTTATAGATCAAGCCAGATGTAAGGCCTAGTCTAGTGTTGCAGAATAGCAGATATTTATTTTAATGACTGGAATATAGTTATTAAAATATAGTGTATTTCTCTGTGAAAAGAAAAAAAGGCAAGAGACTGCACTTATAATTCACTCTTTCAAAAAATTATCCTCTAGAAAAAATTCATCTGATTTTATAGAATTTTTACAAAGTTTCTTCTATTATAGGATAATTTGTCAACAGTGGAGTACTCACTGGGGAGGACATAATTTCAGTGTTCATATTGAGTGCCTAAGGAGGTCACCTGGTGAAAAGGAAGGCAAAGAAATTGAATGCAGATTAAATAATTATTCCTGGATATGATCTTATAATTTCATGTGAGATATCATGTTAATCCTTACAAAGATCATTTGAAAAACAAATCACTGCAAATATTTTGCCCCCCCCCAAAGTTGTCTTTTTTGTTGTTGTGTTAAAGAATAGTAAGAAATTTGCTGGAGGTGTGGCTCAAATGGCAGAGTGCCTAGCAAAAAGAAGAAAATTACGTGATTAGTATGCAATGAAATGACTAGTCAGTGAAGTCACAATAAGTTGCATGTTAGTTTTTTGTCTAACCATACAATTCAGATTTAACTTATCTTCTCATTCTAAGAATCATCTTAATATTTATAGATCTCCTTCTCACTGTCTTTAATAGTCTGTCAAATAGGTTTTATTACCATTATGTAATGCAAAGCATATATTTTTCAAGATTTGTTTTTGGAAATTAAAAATAGAAAAGGAGATAGAGCTTACTCAATGAAGGTTCATCTATATAACATAACATTTACTTTTATTGATAAAATGTTTTGAGTGTTCACTTTCTGCTTTTTAGTGAATGAATATAATTGAATTTTAGAAATTAAAAAGACCTAATAGAATCCAGTTGTTTCTGTTTTCTGGGTTGACCTAGATGAGGTTGCCTAGAGTCAGGTTCATTGTTTACAAGTCACTGAGTCCTAGAACGCCATGGTCTTGACTTTTTAGTTGGATACATTTTCATGATAGCATAAATGTCAGTAGCTAATCTTTTAACATACTAGATTAATATTTCTGTAAGTGTTGAAAAACCAGTGGAAATAATTATTTTCTTTATTATGCATGGTAAAAGTCCCCAAGTAAAAGAATAATCTTTGCACTAGTAATTTATGAAACCTAACTTTTTTTGATCTATTCATTAGTCATGTTTATATCTATGAAAAACTAACTTCTAAAATTCCTCTTTTGGTTTTAATTAACACAGTGCTTTAGACCTAATTAAGTTTGTGGCATTAAATTTTTTTTTGATCCTTTTAGGCTGGCTTGAGTCTTCGTAAAGTAAACAGACATGTAGATTTTCCACTTACGCTTGACTTAGCACCATTCTGTTCTGCTACTTGTAAGGTACTGTATTTTAAGATATTTAATTAACTTGCAAATAGTACGTTCAGAAACATCTGTGTGTTATTAGGCTGTGCTTTCATGATATTTTAAAAATAAGTTTGTCTTCTGAAAGGGATTTAGTAGTAAAGTTAAATCAGTATCTTGTGCCACATACACTAAATGTGACTAGTTCTTTGGGAGAAAGGTGAGTAAGGACTGCTTATAAATGCTAATGGATGATGATGATAGCTGAGAAAAGTGAGCAGGCTTTGTGCTTTCCTTGATCCTTTGAGTGATCTGCTTAATGAGTAGTAATTTTGGCATTTCTGTAGATCTGTATCTTTTGCAGATCAAACTCTAGTGCATTGTTTTTTATGTTCTTTCCTGTATACTACTGAGAGTAGCATACTACTCTGTTGAGTACAATACTTCAGAATTGCTAATGTCTTAACAGTTATAGAAAGCAGACCTAGTTATAATTGCTTGTACTTACATGTGAGAATTATATGGATAAAATTGATGACTTTTTCTTGAGGAAACCAGTTCTAGGGTAATATAGTCTCCTGTTCATGATTATTGGCTAGAAGTCTAGGTTTTGTGGAATGTAGTAGAATGCTTTCTCTCTTTCTCTTTCTTTTTCTGTATACGAGCTTGAGCTCAGGGCCAAGCACTCTACACTTGAGCCTCACTTCCAGCCCTTTTTTGCTTTTGATTATTTTTCAGATAGGGTCTTGCATTTTTTGCCTTGACCGGCCTCAGACCATGATCTTCCTTTCTAGGCTGCTTGAGTACCTGGGATTACAGGTGTGCCCCACCATGCTCATCTTGTTTGTCTGGCCTGGCCTGGAAATATGGTGCTCTTGATATCCACCTTCTGAGTAGCTGGGATTATGTGCATGAGCCACATATCTAGCCTAATAGAATGCTTACTGAACTTAATATTTTCAGTACATTGATTAAAACAAAAATATCTTCAATGTAATTTTCCAGTGTATCGAATCTTATCTACTGTGGAATACCAACTCTGTCAGTATTCCTAGAATTTGACAATGTGGTAAATAACAGTGAAATTTAATGAGCTCCATATTAAGTTCATGAGGACATTATATTTTTATAAGTACCTATTATGGAAAATTTCTAACATACACAAAAGTAGACAGACCAGTAAAACAAATCTTTAAGGGCAGGAGTGCCCTAAAACCTGAGATCCATGGACAGTCCTGTCCCATTCACACATTCTTCCACTTTGTTCTGTACTATTATTTTTAATAGTACTATGATTTTAATAGTACTATGATTTTTAAGCATCATTTCATTCTTCCTTTTTTTTTTTTTGAAATAGCGTCTTCCTCTATAGCCCAGGCTAGCCATCCCTACCCTCTTGTAGTAGAGAAAACCCCTTTGTTGTGTGGCTTATTATTACAAGCATTCAGAAATGATGCTGGCTAGGTCTTCTTTTTTGTGTTATTGGGGATTGAACGCAAGGCCTCACACTTGCTATGCATATTCTCTACCACTTAAGCCATGCTCTCAATCCTTTTGGTTTTTAGTTTTTCAGATAGGGTGTTGTGCTCTTTGCCTGGGCTGGCCCTGGCAATCCTTTTACCTCTGCCACCCCCTGTAGCTGGGATTACAGGTTTATGCCGCCATACCTGGCTTCAAATAATTTCTTAATAACTGTTCCTAAATGTGATAATAAATGTGATTTTAAAGTGAATAAGGGTCACATGTTAAAATTGGATGATGTCTTTTAAGCCTACTGTAGGTCTCTCCTCTCGTCATTTATTTGTTGAAGAAAGCAGACCATCTTTCTTGTGGTTTTTCATAATTTAGATTTTGATGATCATCCCTCTGTCTTCTTTATTGCCTGCTATGAGATTTGAATAGATTGCCTCTGGAAAGGTTTGAATGGATTCAAGTTTGATAGTCAAACCCCTCTCTTTATTTTTCATAAGGCTATTTCATAGGAAGTTTTCTGTTCTTTCATTGGGGAGCACATTGTACCACTTATCTTTTTGCAGTATTAGCAGCAATAGTGCTTAATACTAGATCCATGAGTTAAGAATTACAGAATGGTGATATTCTAATTGTGACATTTCTTTGTAATTTATTAGCTAGAATACTTTTGTATAAAGAGAAATTCCTTCATCTGTTTAGGTACCTCATGGTATAGTTCTTATACATGAGATATTTGACTCTTGCTAACCCAGTGTTCAAAATAATGAATTACTTCACTAGTGTCCTCAAGCTGTTATCAGTTTGTCATTATAAATTCATTGATTTAAATATATTAGATCTGTTCCAATTCATTATACTATTCTTTTTGTTCATCCTCTAATTTATTACTCTATTGGTAGTTGATCGCTGAAAACCACTTCAAGCCACCTCTTGGGTAGAACAGGTTCTGCCTCAAGGTGGAGTGGGGGTGGGGAAGGAAGGTGGCTCAAATAATGTATACACATGTAAGTAAATGTAAAAATGATAAAATAAAAATTTTCCCAAATAGAAGTATAATACTCTCAGAATAAGAAAAATGCATTGTGAAGTAAACACACACACATACACATACACACACATAAACACACACACACAGAGTCACCTCTTGGAACCTTTTTTTGGTATGGAACTGGAGTTTGAACTCAGGGCCTTATACTTGCTGGGCTACACCTCCAGCCCTCCAGAGTACTTTTGACATTTTGACATGACCGTAGCAGTTCCTTTGTAAGGGTTATGCCACCAAGTGGCTATATTGTTCATTTGCATAATTTTTAAATTTTTCTGCATAAGGGTTGCTTTTCAAATTTAATTTTAATAGTTATGTAAAATATTTACATAGTTCCATAGCAAAATATCAGATGTACTGGAGAAGATAAATTCAAGAAGTTTGTTTTTGATCCATGTCCATTTTCCCTGTTCCTTCTTTTATACATAACCATTTAAAAACTTACGGGTTTTTTTTTAATATAAGCAGATATGTGTGTATTTGCATCTCCCCTCTTAAATAATAGCTTGCACTATGAACTCCCTTTTTTTCTACCTTATTTTCTTTTTTGAAGGGGGAGTGGTACTGGGGCTTGAAATCAGGGTCTTGTACTTGTTTTCTACCACTGGAACCACACTTCCAGCCCTCTGTAGTCTATCCTATAGAAATGTTACAGTTTATTCAATCTGTCCTTAATTTATGGACATTTGAGTTTATTCCAGTCTTTTGATGTTCTGAATAGTCCTGCAGTTAATACTCTGGTGTGTGTCTTTTTACATTTTGCTCATGTTCCTGTGGGATAAAATCCTAGAAATAGGATTGATGAATACAAGGGAAATACATATGTAATTTAGCTAGGCAACATGAAATATCCCTACATAGGTGTTGAACTCCTTTGCATTCCCACATACAGTCTCAGCAATTAGTACTTTACTGCGCAACCCTGTATCAGAGAATATTGTCCAGAGTTTGCATTTTTGCTAGCCTAATATCTCAGTGCAGTTTTAATAATGCATTTAATATTTTAACCAGGATATATATTTACTTACATTTTCTTATAACTATTCACTAAATGTTGCTAATTTGGTGGGTTTTTTCCCTCTGTTTAATAGAATGTAGGTGTGGGAGATAAAGTTCTCTATGGTCTTTACGGCATAGTGGAACATAGTGGCTCGATGAGAGGAGGCCATTACACTGCTTATGTGAAAGTGAGAGTGCCCTCCAGGAAATTATCGGAACAGATCAATGGAAGGAAATATGTACCTGGTATGTCATCCTTAGTATACTTTATTCTTAAAAATAAATGAGTTAATTTTTCCTTTTTAGAAGACGTAAGTTGTTATTTCATAGGCAACTTTAAATGGATTCACTTTACTGATGTTAAGTGAGAATTACCTCTAAGAGTGTTTAAATAATGTTAGTTATGATAAAACTGTATACCCTTTTAGGTGGTAGGAAGTAAAGGAAGTAACACATAATTTTTCAAAGTATTGAATCATAGTCACATTGCAGTGGGGTAGTATTTTATTTAATAATACTCAAAATTTTTAAAGACATGCCAGGTCCTTAGAATAGAGTTGGAGTTAGAAATTTGCTGGCTTTGCTTGTGGATCATTAAAATAACTGCTTCTCTCCCTCTCTTTCCAATCCCCCCCCACTCTTTTAGTGAAAATGATTCTTTTCTGTGTGTAATTAAGTATTTGCAAAGCTAATATTTTACTAGGCACTTAAAGTGTTACTAACTAGAGATAATTATGAATTATCCTCATAATATTGGGTACTTTGAATTCATTTTGGAACTACTTAACCCAAGAAAAAACAGACTCCTATAGTAATATCTAACATTAAATAAATAGTTTGTAATTAATATGTTATTATGTATAATTTAGAGAATATACAAGATACTTATTGTAAAATTGTGCTTCTTTTTGTTTTGTTAGGTTTGAAAGAACCTGATAGCGAATCAGGAGGCCAGTGGGTTCATGTTAGTGACACTTATGTGCAGGTGGTTCCAGAATCAAGAGCACTTAGTGCACAAGCTTACCTTCTTTTTTATGAAAGAATACTGTAGTTAGTTGTTAATTGTTAATGGTATTGATTATTTAGCTCACTTTTATTTGACTGCTGCAGTGGTAACTATAATATGTAAAATGTGCCTTTGTAGTCTTCTCTCTTCTGTAGGAATAGCATGTCCTTCAGATGCTTAACTTTTTCACCACTTTGGTGAATCCTTTTAAAGTAACTTAAATTTACTCAGTGCTTTCAAATTTATATTCCTAATCGTAAAAACATTTTTTTTCATGTCATGGAGGACAAAAAAAATCAAAATTTATAGTAGTAGAGGAAACCCCTTTAGGATATGACTCATTATTTCAAGCATTCACAATGATGCTAGCTAAATCAAATCATCCTAATATACTGTTTCCTAAGTGTGATACTACTTTTCTGATCTCATGTAATATATTCTGTGCCATTATTTACTTATTGTTTTTTAATGTTTTATCGTTTTGTAGCCTTAGCCTTATTTTTAGCAATCATATTTCACCTTTTTGTGCATGTTATTTTTATAATAAATATTAACATAAATTTATAAGTATTAGAAAGAAATTATTCATCCATATACAACTCCACTTAAAATTATCTCGGGGCTATCTAGTAGTATATATATATTATTGTTTAGAACAAATTTCTGTAACTATATGAAGTAATACCCAATATAACATAGTTACTTCATCATATTTTATATGATTCAGCCATATAAAAAGGTATCACTATAATTTTGATAGTGTGGGTTTACAAATAATGTATGGAGTAACTTATTGCTTTGAGGTTTTAGCAATATTGAAATATTCTTAAATATATCATTTGCAGCCCACTTATAATAGAGTTAAAGATAATTTCCAAGTGGTTGGCCAAGGTCAAAATATAATTACAGATAATTATAACATGCAGAATTGGTAAATAGAAGTTGATAATTCATATGGAACCATAGGATACCCTAGAAATATAAATTACCAAATTATACTTATAAATGATAGAGAATTATAAAGTAAATGTACATTTCTGTTTCTGTATTTCAATAAATAATAAATATGCTTTTGGGGTAGAGAGATTACTTTTTTATCTTCAGCAAGCATCATTTAAAAGTTCAGTTAGATTTAGCTTTTACTTTAATGGAGCACAGAACTAGTACTTCTGTTTTTTAAATAATTAGCTGCAAAAATAAGATAATTTTCTACTTCTAGAATACAAATTACAAATTTGTCAAAAGTTGGAATGAGAAATATTACTATTACTTAGATTTCAGTTTCAAAAAATCATGGCTACTTCAGTGTCATAGTATTGAATTAAAACATAATTTAAGCACTGATCATTAGTGCCAATGAATGATAATACAGTCAGGGGTCATATGAGTGCCTAAAAAGGGAAAAAAGGATGAGAATAGTGTCTGTAGATAATGTATGGAAATGTTTAACCACGACTGATCCTTTTTAACACATAAGTGTATATAACATTATCGAGGTTACTGGTATATGGATGAATAGAATTGTGATTAGTGTTAAAGATGGTAACAGCATATAAAATGCACTTTCAAAATGACATGACATACATTCTATTATTAACCTGTTGACATTTCAAAACTAGTGTTTCTCCTTAACAGTGAAGATACAGTAGACATCATTGTTCATCTGCAAGTCTGGTTGTATCCTGGAAAGGGACATTTTCAGTATTTTCTATTTAATTGTAATCCATTAACATTGTAAATTTCAGTACCAGAACAAGAGCAATGAATTTTTTTAAAAGTACTAGATTTCTTTATTCAAGTTAGTTGTCTTGATAGTAGCAATTGCCACCCTCCCCCTCAAAAAAACTCTTCATTTTTCTTTTAGAAATCTAAGATATTACTAAGAGGTATACACTTTTCATTGGATGGGCACCTGTTTCAGGTATCTGTAACAGATAATCTGTCAGTATCTTTTACAGATACTGTTACCACAGATACTGTGGTGACAGTATTTTATCATCTTTTAAAATGGAAAGACCCAAAATGTATGATTTTAGACATTATTCTAGTAGTAACATACAAATATGATACTTATTTTCATTTCCTTAGTATTAAGTGAGCTAATTTTGAATTCTATTTTTATGGTTGACTTTAATGAATGCTTTTTTCTTTTTCTCTGAAAACAAAAAAAAAAATTGATTTTGATACCCAGGAATTTCCTAAATGCAGCTTTTGTTGTATAGAAAGCACATTAAATGACATGTGAGTCTACATTTAAATTTTTGTTTTAATTTTGAATTTTTCCAAATCACATTTGCAGGGATATTACATTATGAGGCTACTGTAATAACAATAGTTTCCAGATTACCTCAGGAAACAAATAAATGAGAACGTTTACAGATCATTAACACAACTGCATAATATTTGACTGAATGAGTTTAAGAAATAAAACCGAGAAGTTTCACTAGCTCTGTTTAGAAACTGGTTTACGGGGTATGTCTAACCCCCTGTTCTTAGCTTTCCGATATTTAAAATGATAAATTTTTGATTATGTGCCAGTTATAAATAATATAATAATTATATTATTTGTGAATATTTTTGACATAACCAAATATACACCTATACTTCAGATTTTGTCATTTAATGCTTTTAAAAATTATATGAAGACCATCTTTTTCTTAGGTGGCCAACAAGAGTGATTGTTGTTATCGATTTAGCATACTTGATTTACCAGCAGACCTCTTTTAATACATCTGATAGCTCTTAGCTTGCATGTGTGATGACTTAACTCAGTGATTTTATGCAATAGTTGAATGACATTTCTTGAAGATTAAGCTGTGAAATGTATCATCCCTCATCTAATTTTTGTAGTACAAAATAACATCTTGCCCACTTTTCTTATCGTTATATTCATAATTAATTTTTCTGCATGATAACTGATCAAATAAGCCTATGCCAAAGATGTGCAATAAAATTTAGCCCTTAGATAGCATCTAGTGCACTAAGAAAAACTATTTCTATATTTACAATGTTTTCGTTCATGTAGAAATCATCAATTCAAATCTACTTAAAAGATATTTTCAATTTTGAATAATAAATTCACGTCATTCCTACTGTTTAATCCTTTTCTGTAGTATTTTTAGAAAATAGCTATGTAACTTATTGAGCATTATTTTGATGTTACTGTATAAACATCATAATAAATATTAAATCCTTATTTATTTTACAAGATTTGTCCATGCAATGCATGTTATTGACAAAATATTTTGTCTGTCAACATTGTATTTCCTTCTGTTTTAGTCCCCTTGGGCTGCTATAAAAAATCCTAAATTGGGTGGCTTATTAACAACAGAATTTACTTCCTACAGTTCTAGAGGCTGGAAGGTCTGAGATCAAGGCATCTGTAGACTTGGTGTTGGGTGAGGATATGATTCTGGTTCTGAAACCAGAATCAGTTTCTTCACGTGGCTACAGAGGTGCAGGGGAGCTCTTTGGGATGGACTTCTTTTGTGAAGACACTAACCCCCTTCATGAGGGCTACACTCTCATGACTTAATTACTTCCCAAAGGCCCCACTCCTGAATACTCTCAAATTCATTCCTATTCTCTCCCTCCCCATTTCCTCCCACCCTCCCTCCCTACCTCACCCTACCCCCCACTTCTCTGTGCTCCTTTTTCAATGAGCTACAACCCCATCCAGAACAAGTTATTTTAATGGGCCACTTTCAGTCAGATTTTAGTATCTATCATGGGTAAGTTTAAATACTTTCAGATAGTTCTTTTTGAGTTGTAGGGATAGAGCATGGCTCAAGTGGTACAGCGCCTGCTTAGCAAGCACAAGGTCCTGAGTTTAAAACCACAGTACCAGCAGACTCCATCCTCTGGAAGGAGTTTTTTTTAAAGCTCACCTGTTTGGTTACACCTAAATGGCTGTTTAAGAAGTGGGGGGTAGGGGAAGCTGGTGGCCCAAATACTATATACACATGTAGGTAAATGTAAAAACAGTGAAATAAATAAAAAACAGAAAAAAAGCATTGTTCAATTATAGAGGGAATGAGTATATTTAAAGAACACCTTATACATGTATAGAAATACCACAATGAAACTCTTCACTTTGTACCATTAGTATATTGCTAGTAAAAATAATTTATAAAAAAGAATCATTCAGATTAACTATAAGAGCCTCCAGAAGCCCGAATAAAGTTTTGATGTTGCTGTTGCATCAAAAAAAAAAAAGCCATACTTGAAAGTTGCCCAGCTTTTTATTCCCCACCTTTAAAAGATTGTTTCTGATAGAACAATAATGTCGCCATTTGTAAGTCGGTGGCCATTTTATCCACGGGCCTCACTTGAGAAATGGAGCCATTCCCAATAACAGCCCTGCCCTTAAACAGAAATTCCCACGCTCCAAGACAAGTTCCACCCCTACAGGAGATTCCTGTGCATGTGCTAACTTCCTTAACCTCTCCCTTCTACAAAAGGCATGCCTGGCCCAGAGTCTGTGCTGTGCCATCTTTCCAGGCCAGCCTGGCAGTCCGGGCCTGCCATTAAACTTTGCTCTTGGACATGAGACTTCTCTCAAACTTTCTTTGTGAGTGGCGTTTTTCATAACATTTTGGTACCGTGACTCGGATTGGGGTGCACTTCTGGCGCTGACCTTGCTTTCCTGGCCCCCTCCCATCCTGCCTCCCCCGCCCCCCCCCCCCGGCCCTCCCCCTCCAAACTCCCATTCCCTTCCTCCAGGATCTGAGCTGCTTTGCTGGAACCCCCGATCCTACAGGGAATTTCCTCCACTGCAGCATGCCTCCAATTGCCATCTACCACCGGCCAATCCTCCCCCAAGGTCCTCTCTTGGTGAATCCTTGCACGCAGAGCCGTGATCTCTCTCATTTTCTTGAAATTTAGCGCTAGGTCTTGGCTTGCTCCCATCCTTGGGAACCGGGTTCCCTAGGATTGTGGGCCCCCATGATGAAGATGTTACTCCCAGGTGTTGTTCCACATCTACTCTCTCCTGAAGAGCCGATATTTCGGGGATACCTGTTATATCCTTTCCTCAGTTCAGGCCTCACCATGGAGATTGGACTGTCCCAAAGTCCTTCAGACTCCCCATTGGGATGTCTCCTGGCCAACCTTGGGCCCCTTTGCCTAATGCCTGATCTTAAGCCACGAAAGCTCATTTTTCTCTGTAATTAGGCATGGCCCTGATAGCCATTAGACAATGCCTCCAAATGGCCACTTAATGGCACTTTCAATCCCAATATTTTAAGGGCGTTATACAATTTCTGTGAGTGTGCTAGTAAGTGGAAGGAAATACTCTACACCCAATCCTTTTCCCATCTCTGCACCAAATCCTTCCTCTGTACTTCCTGTTCCCCTGCGCAGGTTCTATTAGCCTCTAAACCAGCTTCTAAATGAACCAAATCCTCTCCTGAACAACCTCCATCCCCATGTAAGCAGACTTCTTGTGCTGCTCACGCTGCCTGTCTCTTCCTGTCTTCCTCAGCGACTTTCCTGTCATGGTGTCAAGCCACTCCTTGCCAACTCTGGCCTCAAGGTGATTCCAGCTCTGGGGGAGTTCATGCTCCCTCCCTGTTGGCCAAGACCAAGCCTGGGGTTTATTCAGGTACACCTCATGTGCTACATTGGGGGAGTCCTGATTGATTATGGCATCTGACAACTGCTTCTCTTCACCCCCCCCCAATGCCCCTTTTTCCTGAGACAGTGACTAGAGAGTGGAGATTTCATGTTGCTGAAAGTGTTCCAGTACCAGTCAAGAGGCACAGGTGATGGCTAATCCCTCAGGCATGTGTCATGCCTCCAGGCTCTGCCTTCCCCTCCCTTACCTAAGATGTCAGGACGCCTTTTCTGCTTCCTCCATGGTCTCAGTGCATGTCCTTTGTCTGCCTTCCCCTCCCTGGGCTTATTGGGACCCTGCCTCCCATGAAAAACTTTAGCATGATACCTTATGACTTAAGTTATTCCAACTAGTTTGCCAGGCCTCTCAGTCTAAAGTAACTAAATCAGCTGCCAGGCACCCGGTGAGGCAAAAGCACTTACAAAAAACTGCAGCTGCCATGCTAACGCCCTAACCCCGCCCCTGCAAGGGGAGGCGGAAAAGCAAATAGGCGCACTCATGCACAGGCAATGCAGGTTCCTGGGCACAGTGGGATCGCCTGCCATACCTAAGAGAATCCATAGGCCAACCCAACACACATCCTAGGCCACCAGCCGCACATGGCGGTGGCTGCAGCCCGCCACCACTTCTCCTAGAATAAACACGTGCAGAGTACACAGGAAAGGGGTAGGGGCATCAGGCTGCAGGATCAGGTCTAGGCAAACGGTCACTTGTCCTGGGTGTGTGTGGAGGGGGTCGGTGCCTAGCACACGCCCTTCTAGCCCCATCTCACACTTCGGGGCACTGGACCCAGCCCTTGTAAGCCAATTGTTAGCTCAAGGTTATAGTCCCAGAAATAGCAAAATGAACATTACTGTGGTCTCTAAACTTCTCATTTAAAATTTTCTATACTTTCAGCCTCAGCATAAATTTTTCCCTCCAAATATTAACACTAGTTGTCCCATATGGTACTGTTATTGGCCCGGGATGTCCTCTGAATGCCCTTCTCTAACTTTACAGATGATTTATTCCTTTGTTAAAAAGATAGCCTTTATTAAAGAGTCTGCCTGCGGTTAGCTAAAAGACAGGATCCTAGTGTCTTGTTATTTCTAGATGGAACCTGCACCTTCCAGTCTTCTGGCTTGTAGATGTTGGAAGCTTTGTACTGAGGCCTGGCCTCAGTATGCCTTGGGTGACCAAGAGAAGTGGCCTTCATAGGATTCTTTAAATTATAATACCATACTCCAATTAGACCTTTTCTATAAAAGGGAAAAAAGTGAACTGAGGTCCCCTATACAAATTTGCTTTCATCTCTGAGACCTCTCAGATTGGCTCCATAATTGCTATTTAGATACTCAAATGCTGGCCATTCTTTGTAAGCCACAGTATAAATACCCTCTGCCCTACCTTCTAAGCCACCCCAATATTCAGAACCTCCTAATGGGTGCTTCCCTCTTCAATAGAAAGGAAGAGGGTGAGTCTATGTCCCCTTCCAGCTATCAGATCTAAGGGAAATTAAAAAACATCTGGACAGCTATACTGATGCCCAGACGAATACATTCAAGCCTTTATCTCTGTGATCCAAACCTTTCAGTTGACATGAAAGGATATTATGCTTCTATTAGACCAGACTCTTGTCTCACTAGAAAAGCAATGATTTCTGGCCCAGGCCACTCAGGTTGGAAATGATTACCACTTACAATGAGCCCCAATACTAGTGGCACCTGGAAATGAGGGAATAAATATGCCTATACTTACAGGGGCACAGGCAGTCCCCTTGACAGATTCACACCAAAAAGGGCTGGTAATATGGCTGAAACAGTAGAGTGCCACTTTGCAGTCATAAAGTCCTGAGTTCAAGCGCCAGTACAACCAAAGGGGGGGAAAATATATATGTATATTGGGATAAGGACATAGCTCAGTAGGAGAGTGTCTGCCCAGCGTGTGCAAGGCCCTAGGTTTAATTCCCCAGCATTGCTAAATCAAAAAAAATGGTAAGAAAGATAAGTGGTGTTAATGTCACTTCAGCCATCTCATAGTGGAAGAAAGCAGTTTAACCTAGACCAGATCCCTCATTCTTCAAGGAGGAAACTGAGGCCCAGAATGGTTCAGAGACCTGCTCTCCAGAATGTCAGGTGTTAGTGTGAAATAACAACTTTGCTTTACAGCAACGCCCTGAAGAAAATCCCCTTACCTTTCTGTAGCATCTTGAAGACGCTACCAGAAAGCATACCACGGTGGACCCAGAGTCACAGGTGAGAGAGGTTCTCCTCAAAGATAAATTTCTGTCATCCCCAGATATTTGTAGAAAACTCAGTCTGTGGCTGAAGGAGAAAAGTCATTGGATCAAACTACTACAACTAGCCATGTCTATATACTATAATGGGGACATTACTAACAGAGAGATAAGAGACATCATGACCTCATTGCTGCCCCCACCCGACTGGGGCCTATATCCTGAACTTGCTACCATGGTGGACAGGAGGGGCATTTCTGCAGAGAATGCTCAAGGGGGACAGCCCAGGAGACA